GCTGAACTTGGCTGTTTTCAGTCTTTTCTGGGCAATGTTATTTCCTCCTCAAGAGGAGATGTGTGGGATTGGGGGATCTTCAGCCTGCAGGAAGACAGGAACCACAACATGATGTCCTTCTCCAGATGACTGCTGGGAAGCAGATTTATACTTGTGCTCTCGAGGGGGAGAGATGCTAGGGCCAATTCCATGGTGATACAAGGGAGGAGTTTTTTTCCCAAAAGGTCTGATCTAGAGTTCCTTGAAGCTGGGGGTGGAGGAATATCCCCATTCATTTAATCAGGTTTTGAAGTCACCCCAGTGTATTCCAGTTTCCCATGACCCCATGAACAAACCTGTCTCTCCCTGAAACCTCTGTTTTCCCTGCACCTCACCCAAACCTGCCCCCATCCACTCTTACCCTTCAGCAGAGACTGCCTTCCCTCCCCACGCACACCGTCCCCACCGCCCTCGCAACCATGCTCTACCCCAGGGTGGAGCTGGGGCTTTCAGGTGGCAGCACCAAGTGCTGCTGGACTCTGGCCTCAGGGAGAGCTGTGGGGTGGGGAAGATAGTGCTCAGGGGCATCTGGGAGGTCACTTCAGTGCAGTGGGGAAGCACTTCAGAGGGACTTGCATCAATCTGCAAGGAAACAGGTTCCCCCTCTCCCTTCAGTCCTTTGAACATGGGATATGGTTGGATCTGATTTAAAGGCTCTGTCTGGGAACCATTAAATGTCCCTATTAGCTGACCAGCCCCAATCACAGGAATCGGTGCAGTCACATTTTATGAGGGGGAGAACTGCAGAGATGGCATAAAAACTGCAAGAAAACCATCTTGTAAGCCATTGAGATGATTATGATACACTAAAACAGTAGGTGATCTGGCTCCGCAGAGGCACAGAGCAGAGGGGTGCAATGGGGAGCCATGGGGGTGGAGGTCCAGCAGCTCAGGTCCATTTCACAACCTGTGTCCTCTGACGCCAGATCCCCAGGGCATCCAGCTGCACCCCCCAGGACACGGACCACCCCTTCCTTCAGCCTGAGCAAGGCAGGACAGGGCTCAGTGAAGGCAGTGCTGCTGACCCTGCCAGGTCTGTGCGGTGCACGGGCTGGGCTCAGCAGGCACTGCATCCTTCCTGACTGTAAAATGGATGGTTTTGGGCAACCGTTGCATTTTATTTATTTTTACTCTGAATTCCCAAAGTACAAACTGCATTTTCCCTCACTCAAGCAGAGAAATAGAGAGATAAGGATAACCCTGTTTCCTGCACTCATCTTACTATTGCCTTTCACCCTTTCTTGTCCTTTCCTTTGCTAGTGAGTGAAAAGTCCTGGCTGGCAGCACCAGTGACTGCACCTTCAGTGCTTGGTGTGCAGGGATGCCCGAACTCTTAGCATGTCTGGGCCCCTCCTCCTGAGGATAAGCTTGTCTGGACAAAATTGCCCCTGCAGCATTTACAATTGAGGGAAGGGTGGGCTGAGACGTGAGTCTGAAAGCTGGAGATCATTAGCATTACAAGCCCAGGGGAAAGGGGTGGAAGATTCCTTGCTCCACTGCTGTCCCCAGAGCTCACCAGTTCTCTGAGATTTTGGGCCGAATCCATTGCTGGGAGAAATCCAGTGGGATCATGCCAGGATGTATTTAACCCTTTGTGGCTTCTAGTTCATTCACAGCCCTGCTGTGGAGAGGGTGAAGTTTACCCCAGTAAATTGCATGCAGCTGGAAAAGGCACACTTTGGACAAAGCCCTGGAAGCTCTGTGTATGCAGATCTGCTGTCTCTCAGGGACACGTGGGGCTGGACTGAACCCCAGTCCCAGCACCCTGAAGACTGGTCTGTTCTGCAGGACACTGCCCTCCTTGTGCTCCACCTAGACCATCCTGCCACCCCTCGGCTGCCTTTCAGCTGGGTGTAAGCCATCTTTGCTAGGGGAGGCGATCACTCTTCACCCACTTGTTCTCTTGCCCTGGGAAGACCAGTCAGGGTGAGCTGTGAATGGCCAAGACAGCATCTCAGAGGAGTGACAGGACCTGCTTGAAGCTGTGTGCCCTGGCAGAATGGCATGGGGCTGTCTCAGGGCTGGCCCAGAAGTGACCGAGGGGTCTGGCTGGACAGGCAGCTGCCTGCAGGAGGAGTGGAGAGAACTGGAGCAAAGCAGCTACCACTTAGTTGCCTGTGAGCGAGGCTGAACTGCTCCAGAGAGCACCTCTACAAGCCAGAGCCCTTGGCCCTGTGCAGCTCAAGGATAAGGGCACTGGAGGCAGGAAGGTGAGAGTAGCTGGTGCTGGGCACCCCAGAGGTGTGGGCAGGGAAAGGTCCTTCTCAGACAGATTTCCATGTGAGAAATACAACCCCCAAAAGCAGTGAACCAGGCTGCCTTCCCTTCCTCCCTTCTCTGCTCTTTCCCCGCTTGCTTTCCCCATATTTTCCTCTTTCAGGAGTGTTGTTTCCTTCTTCTATCCTCAGTGCCTGGTGGCAATCACCCCTGCACTGTCCCCACCTGCTCAGCCCTGCAGGCAGGGTGCCACCTCCAACATCCTGGGGTGTCTCCTCCATGCACCTATGGTTGCTGCCTGCAGATCAGGAGGGAGCTGGGAAGCTTTGGATGTAGAGGCACTGGAAGAGCCTGTTCCTGTGTATCATTTATGCTCCTTGCCATGGCAAGGCAGATCTTGCACCTCACAACCTTTCTAACAGAGCCAGTGCTTCCACAACACAGCAGCCCTAGGCTGCTTAACCTCATTCCAGCACACCTACCATCCCTGGAATGTGGTGCTTCAATGGCTCCAAATGCAACTTACTGGTGCCCAGTCCTCTTTTTTTGAGAGAAAGAGAACTCCGACTAATGCCAAAAGGAGGACAGGCCTGCTGGGGATTGCAGTTCACTTTTTAATTTTGAGATGCCTCGTTAGCTCTGGGCCGAGCTGAGTGGCTGAGAAACGTCAGCCACTTGCTCTCCTCCCCTCTCCCCCACCCCCTTGGAAACCCATTAGGCTGATGAGCAGGTCGGCTCTCAGGGGTGATGCTGTGGCAATGAGTATGACGTGCTCATCTGGGGAGCCAGACTGAATGGGGGGGACACACAGGAGAAAGGGAGAAGGTTAGAGCCATGTGGAGGTGGTGGAAAAATCTGGGATCAAGCCATTCTGGCTCAGTGGGGGCAGCCCAAGGGGGTCAAGCACCAGGTGAGGTGGAGGGGCTGACATTGAAGGGCCAACAGGTTCATCAGTCCTTGGGGTACAGGTGATAAACCCTTCCAGCCTGGGAAGCTCTGGACAGTCCCCTCTTACTTCTCGCAGTTCCCCAAGCCCTAGAGTAGCACACCATGTTGGAGAGATGTGGGACAGTGCAGGGTAGGACATGTAGGGACCACAAAGCCCAATTTTCATGGGCTGAGCAAGGAGATGTCTTGGGACTGAAAGGGCAGGGGGTCATTGCAAAGCAGGTCTGAGGGGTTTGGCCAGGATTGTGGTAGGGATCTGGAACAGCCTTGGAGGAAGGATTTACAGGGTAGGGGGGAAGATCCAGCCAGGGCTTTTTGTCTGCTGAAGAGGGAGATCTCTGTCCTGGTACTGCAAGATCAACAATGACACAGAGCGAGGTCTTTTGGCAGAGTATGCTGGGGAGCCTGCTCGGCTCTGGGGGAGCAGGGCAGCGTATCTCACAGAGAGATCAAATCACAGGTGGGTGTCACCCAGTTGGCCCTGGCCTGGGGGATGAACAGTATGGGGGGCAATATTTGGTGGGTATATTGCAAGCACAATTACACCACAGTAAGGCAAGCTGGATGCTCACCATTTAGGACTGGATGAGCCGGGGATGTGGCAGATCAGGTCTGGGAAGCATTGCAGGGCCACGAGTGGGGGAGAGAGGGAGTTTTGAGAGCGGCACCCTGGATCTTGTAAGTGCTCTTAAGCACTCACTTTCAGAAGCATTAGTTCCACAGGAGGAAAAAAAAAGAAAGCAAATGAAGACTGTATTGCTCCAGGGTAGAGCAGGCAATGAAGGAATGGCAGGAGGATCCCACTTGAGCTCAGTGACTCAGCTGCTCTCTGTTGGTGCAACATTTCCAGCCCAAAACTTTGCAAGAGTTTCAAGCAGATGGCTCTGCTTCCCAGGAGTGGATGAAAAGGGGACCCAGCATCATTTACAGAGCTTGTTAGGCAAAAGGAAGGTGAGGGCATTCTCTGCTCGTTGCCCCCAGCCCACCTAGAGTGCAGGGTTCCTAGAGTTTCTCCTGAGTGGTGTGCACAGTGTCTGAA